TATCATGACAGCTTGTGGGGTAAAAAGAGCTGGGGGCGGCTGGGGTAGCTGACGTATTACCGGCTAAAATGCACATGACGGCTCATGGGCTGTTGGATTAACGAAGTGTTCAATTCAAAATATTCGTATAGTAGAAGAAAACTGAAGAAAAATCGGTAGAGTTAATTCATTATATTTACAGTATCGCACCTGCGAAAAGTCTGAAAATCCAAAAGTTGAGAATTGGGTTGCACGGATAGTAGTAGGTATCTACGTACTACTGATGTACGTAAAGCACGGACCATGTCTCCTGGCGATGTCCTCGAGACATCTGTTTCCGCCTTCTTTTCTCCCAGGTAAATTCGACTACATCGTTAAGCAATGATACCAGCATCCCAAAGAAAATCTCAACAAGTGAAATTGCCGTAGATTCGAGTTGTCTACTCGTTCTCCGTGACGTCGATGATAGTCGACTTGAATTTCCTGGCAGGAACTCTGCGGTTGAACAGAATATCGAGCTCGCGGTAAGAGCGGTTCTTGAACTCGGGAAGACCAAAGTAAGCTGAGATGAAGCAAACGCAGGCCGTGCCTCCCCAGACATATCCGCACTTGCCGGCCATGTTCCAGCCAGTTGGGTTAAGCATTCGCGAAGCCAGGTAGATCATGGGAATCTCGGCAACGTAGTATGCCGCACGACCGATACCAGTACTCAGGGCACGAAGGCGGACCGAGGAGGCTTCCGCAATGATGGAGTATGTGATGGGACCCATGGCCAAAGCGTATACGAACGAGATGATGACACCGAGACAAGCCTGTGCGTAGTTTGTCGCACTGGTCTGATGGAGTGAACCGAAGATGCCGAGAAGGAACAACATCAAGACGTTCGTGGCTGTTCCTACAAGATAGATTGTACGGCGACCAAAGTATGCGCTTAGAGGCCAGGCAAGCATATTAGCAACCAGCTGCAGAGACGAATTGATCATGTTGAGCTTGAAGGAAAAGTCGGTAGACATTCCAGCTTCTACATAGAATTAGTCATCTACATTCCAAACTCGCTAGGGATGTACTTACGCTCAAAGAAGAATGTGGCTTGGTTGGCAATCAAGTTACCGGCGAAGTTTTGCGACGCATAGATCAAGCAGGTAATCAGCGTTCGACGAAGATCAACTCCCTTGAAGAGATCCATGAATTTGGCATTGCCGCCTGCATGAGATTCAATCTCAGCAGTACGTTCCATCATAGCCAGGGTGTGCTCGGCGGCTGCCTGAGTGCCGTTCCTGCGGCCGAGGCGCTTGAGGGATACAAGGGCTTCCTCCCTACGTCCTTTGCGTACTAGCCACCAAGGACTCTCGGGAGCGAAAAAGATAAGCACCATGAGGGGTAGCTAAATTTGTCAGTTTTTGACATTTTTGAGCGGGGAAAGGATGCTTACAGGAAACATCCATTGCAGGGCCAGAGGTCCTCGCCACGCCCACTCATCGTTTCGTTTGTTGAACGAGTAGGTGACACCAGCGACGAGAAGACCACCGATAGACCAAGAAAGCTGCAGAGTTGCTGTACAGGCACCACGAAGAACAAGCGGCACAACCTCACTAGCATAAGCGGGCGAGTTTCCAATGAACATTCCCCATGGAACACCTTCTAATGCTTGCCCGACGACAAGTAAGGAGAGTGAATCGGCCTGAATGAATGCTATCAGTCAGAATTCTCACCATGTCTCTCAGAGATATACTACTTACGAAGAAAGAAACAAAAATGGTAGCATTCATAAGAACGAGAGCCAAGAGATTCGTCCAGCGGTAACCAAGACGATCGGTAATTGGACCAACGATGAAAACACCAATAAAAGCGCCGCATTGGCCAGCCTGGAAGAGCGAACTCTGCCATTTTGTAGGAATGGCCTTGGTAGCCTCTCCCGGAACCTCGACTCCGTATCGTTCCTTGAAAGCGGTAAGAGCGACAAAATTACCGTTCAAGAACATGTCAAAGGACTCCATGACCTGTTACATGTTAGCTATCATTCGGAATGCAAATTCCTCGCAAATTCACTGTAATCGAATAATTGGCGACCCTGGACTTACAATTGTAAAACAAAAGACAAAGGCCCAAAAACAAGCCGCGGGATGATCCTTGACAGCCTCCCACAACCCCATCTCATGTTCGCGCGTCTCAGCATTCTGCGCATCAGTCATGAGCTCCTTGTTCTCGAGAATCTCGGCATGGTGGCCGCCGATGCTCTTCTCCCGCATCGCTTCGTCCACCCCAGACTTCTCATCGTACTTGGAATCGGCGAGGCCCGACATCTTGCAGGTGCCGTAGCGTGGTTATTACTACGTATTTGCTTGCGACGCCACGAAAAGGCAAAGAGCGGATAAGCAGCAAAGCAAGCCGGAAGCCAAGCAGACGAAGGCAGACACTTGGAGAGCTTATATATACGGGATAAGCATGCCTGTGGGTCTCGGCATAGCAGGTTCAGACGACCACATGTTGGGCCCCCCATGGGGCTCCGCACAAGCCTTTGGAGGGGGTGCTTGTCGTGCTTGTCGTATACTTGTCGATACCGTTGGGGCTCTTATTGGGTGGGTCACCGGGGGTGCGATATTACTGGTTCCCAGTGATGCCTTGCGGCCTGTCTAGCTCAAAGTCAAAACATTCCACGCCGTTCTATTGATGCGAAAATTGAACGCTCGGGCACTTACAAGTAACCCTTCTGTTCGAGTCGGTAGTATGACCTTGGACGCATCTTCGGGGGCCACGCGCTCGTGGCGGAAGTACTCCTCGATGAAGCTTAGCAAAGCTCAATGGCAGGTTGTGACGACTGCCGGGCCCTATATACGGACAGGATGCTCGTGATAACCGTAAACTAATCACGATGAGACTGTCTGGGCTACCTTCCACGTTGGAAACCCTCAAAGACAGTTTTCTGGAGTCCGACTGTGAAGTCGCCAAATGCATATGCACCCGACTACCGAAAACCGGGCAACGCCTCGAAAGTAGGACCTCCACACCTGCACCCAATCGATCAGCAGCCATGCAAGATTGGCTTCTTAGGAGAATTAACCACTCTCCAAGATTCATGCAGAGTCCCTCATCAAACTACCTACTGCGATGGCGTCACCGGGGCCCATGGAGCCACCTGTCACCCGTCAACTCGATCTTATCAAAAAACGCCGAATATTACCTCGTACGACCTTTGCATGGCCCTCTTGCGCTGAACTCCATGATCGGGAAACTAAAAACCAGACGAAAAGCCACCGCCCATCTCGGCAAGCGTCGGCGGTTCGGAGAAAATAGCCCATTACGGAAGTGCCTCCCCCCCCTCAAAAAACTAGTACTAACGTTCTAGAGCATCTGGTTCATCTAGAACTGAGATAATTTCTGCAGAAACAGCTAGAGACCAGCATTTTGCCAATCTGGTAAGGTTGTGGCGGGGAAAGCCAATGTGTTGAGGAAACGCAGGATATGTATGCTTTTGCTTCAAGGTTCACAGAGTGAAATTCCCATGGGCCTGGAGTTGTGATGCTACGTAAGGCTTACTACAAGTGGAAGTGGCAGACTCCACTTCACGGCACTTTTTCGGTCAGATTGCACGGTGGTGCCATCCATCCGGCCCTTTTGGCATCGCAGGGTAACATTCTTTTTGAGAGGAGGTTATCCAGTGAGGATGAGGGTTTGCGCAAGATGGCTGGGCTATCAATGTGGCAATTGTCTCATTGTCTCTAAATACAATACTTGACATCGTTGAACTGCTACTTCCTTGGTTGGTAGGATATCAAGAGCGTCAATGTTGTCAAGTGACATCATACATTGAAATGACTACGGTTATTTTACCGATGCTTGTCCCAAATAACAGACGGCGAGCAGCTGATTCATGGGCGCGAAACCCCACAGCTGAAAGTAGCAAGATACCCGCAAAATATTGAAATAACGGGATGTCCTGCGAAAGAGCCGCAAACGCCCAAATAGCATATGCACAATGGCTTGTATGGTGGGATTTGGAGAAGCAGGTAGGCTAATTGTAAACTCTGCGTCGGATGACGGATCCAACTGCTATCCGTTCCCGAACTGTTCCAATCGCGTGGTTGCTTTAGCGAGACGGGACCTATTAATTGCAGAGTAAATGCACCTATCTGCTCTACGCATGTGCTTAGTCCCCTAGTTTTTTTTTCGAAATGCGGGCTACACCTCTGTGATATTGTAAACTGGATTTGTTCCCGTGAGGTCAAGTTTCGATTGAGTGATACGAGAAACAACATGACTGAGTTGTTGCTGAAGATCCTGCTAGGGATGTGTATCTAATACATGGTTTTCGAGATGAAGTTGTAGCGAGTAGTACCATGGGACGCGCGTTCTCGACGCTTGGACTTTTGGTCTGTCGATATAGTGGTAATGCTATCGCTAAAGGTGTGAGAAGATTGGTGCCAATTTTGTGGGATTGAAAGACATATTAAAGGCGAAGTCTCTTGAACCCGACAAGTAAGTAAGTTTGGGTTTCACTGACTTTGTCGGATCTCGTGACATACACTGAGGGTGTATAAATGAGTTAACGTCTTAGGGATGTGAACAAACTCGAAAGTTGATTGAGCAGAAGTTTGTGAGTAAGACTGTTGCTACGTTAGCAAACTAATTAGAACAACTCAATGAGGTTTACAGTTGCGTTGTTTTCTTACATTCTCTTTTTACTTTCCATCTGCTCGGACTCTTGATACTAGGGTTTCGCATGTAGTAACTGCTTCTCCTTTTCTTCTGAGAACCCAAACTATCCTTCGCTTTACTGAATAACAGATTCAAATGCGGAGTGGTAACAGCTGAAAGGTGAATATTCAGAAAGAGATTCGAGTCTAAGTGTCTTTGTGCTCTCAGTCCTTGACCGGACCGGCTCCACATTTAGGTCTGGAAACAATTTGGGTAATCATTACAACACGAACAGATACTCGACACTTGTATGGTCGACTATATACCACGGCCGTTAGTTCCGTAACCGCACATGATTTATCTTTGAACGCTTGCCCCTCCCATGTTTCCTCTGCATTGCCGTCTTTCCAATCCATTTCTTACCCAAGAAAAACTTCCTTGACATCGCGACACGTTCAATGTCTCCGTCATATCTCTCAAGAAGCATGAAGAAAAATATCATCATTTTCCTATACCTCGCCACCCAAGCAGGTGCAAAATGCATACCTATCCTCACGTGCGGGCACCACTCTGACCCTTGGTGCAGACCTGGCAAAGCCAACACATGCAATTGGTATCCGAATATAGACAAGCTGAATCAACCATGTCCGTCGAAGCATTGGAAGTGTTATGATGGCGAATGCGTTAGTTGACCTGTGATACGAGCCTCTCTTGTGAAATCTTCTAACAAGCTTTTTAGTATGGTATCTGGGCAAAGCCGCGACAGGAGCCGTCTGCCGACACTTGTTTTATCTTGTGCTGCGAGAGTGAGTCGGATTATGAGAATATGTAAAAGGGTAAAGAGCGAATTCGCAACAATAGTTGAGGGATCAGTGGCGAGCCATTTGTAGATTGGAAATGTTAAGAATCTGTTACTGTGGGTTTCTTGAACGCTCAGTTTATGCGGGAATACACGGAGTGCAGGATTAGAGTTGTCTGGCCGCTTATCGCAGGGTGGAATACATGCAAGAGAGATTTCAATGGGTCTGCATTGATACGCGATTCTGATCTCGAAGCAATCAGGACTTCGAAAGTGCTTAGTAACGATACAAAAGATTGGTGAATGTAAGATGGAATATGCATATATATAGCTCAGTCGTTGGGTGTCTGCAATATCTGAATAGATAGGTGTTCATACCCCCATTTATCCCTGATTAGCGTTAGCTCCTCGAACTAGAAAACCGTCTTTCTATTGTTTCATTGTTTCAAACAAGACATCGAATCTGGTAGCTATGGCGCACATATCATACAAGGGACGGTTGGTAGCTGCGATCATTGGTGTAAGAATCTTCCATGGGAATGCAGGGAATTCTGGTGAATTGGAAAATCTTAGGAAGTTGCGTCCTTTGTCGAGCAATTGCGGGAGTTTATGTAGCACTATGGTTGATAATGGGCAAGCATACGACAGAGAAAGCATGAGTATAGACACTCTCCCAACAAGGAAGATGAAACGATGGCCGGGTAATGTTGTTCTATCGTTGTCATGTCGACTTTCTAGTCAAGGGGTGCAGGTGCAGGTACATGTGTATTTGCCAGTGTAATTAGCAGACTCGCTTATGGGGAGGAAAGCCAAGATACATGCCAACACATGTACGCCGAATCATGTAAAGACACTAGTTGGTTCTGAAAGTGGCCTTGCTTTATCCGACACCGCAAGCTGTCGCGATTAAGCGTTTAGAAATTAGTAACCGCCTATTGACTACTTCGCCGATAAGCCTATAGTGAGCTTTGCACGCAGACGCAGGCATACGAAGCCTCCTATTCTCCGGTATAGTGCTTATGTGTGCTGGATATATTTCGGTGATTTGGCCGAAGCGTGAGTTGATGTAATATATATGGCGTAAGTATTGCGGTAATCAGGGCAACAAATCAATCCGAGAGCCATGGACATGGTCATTGCTAGATAGCCTCGTCACCAGTGTTTGCAGATTTTGCTCTAGAATGCTGGAAACCAACAAGGAACGGGTTACAAAGACTACTAGGCAGGCAAACAGAGCGGGGCAGTGTGTCGTCAATGCGAAGCCGCGTAAGCGAGAGAATAATACGGAGGATACGCATCGAGTCTGCCTCGTGTGGATGGCTGTTGATGGGGTTGCGCCAAGGGGGCTTGGACAGGGCGCCGGCGTTGCTGCTCGGCTATGCCATGGGCCGTGGTGAAACGCAGTGCGACTGTGGATTGCGTCGATGCATCACAGGCAGAATTTCAGGAGGCGTGGGAGGCGAGTGTGCGTGTGGATAGAGGCTCTCAAGCGAATGCGACGAGGTTAAGAGGGATGCAAGGGCAGGCGGTAGATATGTCCAACCAGAAGACAAGAACGATGAGGAGGAAGAGTTCGCCTCAGACGAACATGGATGCTATTCATAGCCGTGCGGTGGGGGCACGTGTTCGTCATGGGCAACGGGTTCCCGATGCAAGTGCAGGGGTGCATCCGTACAGCCTCACCGAAGACGCGTATGAGACCCAAAGAGCCATAACCTCGTCGACGCCGCCGCTGTCGAATCCTCACTGCTGGCTCATCACTCCCGCAACTTTGCGTTTAAACAACCAGTCATTGTCAGATCTTGCTGCAGCAGCGGCATGACGCCATGTTAGACGAGAATCTCCCCAGTATGTCGTCTCGCCAATCGCCATCTCATTCATCCCACATCCTCTAACCCTGTCCAGCCTTCTTTCTCAAGCCTTCGACGGAAAAGATTAAGCACCACGAAGCCTTCTACTTCACCCAGAATGGCTCCGAGGCAGAGGCCCAGTATGCCCTCCGCCACGTCGACCCTGCCACCCCAGATGCCAGGAACACCTATGCGGTAGCCTTGTTTGACTCGCGCAACCCCGACATTCTCTACGGCGAGGTCCTCTCTAAACCGGGATGGTCACATCCCACCCTCTCCCAGGAAGAGATTCGCAAAAATGGCGGAGTCCCACCCCCGCCCATGCCCATCTTCCCTACCGAGTTTGCCATCCAGCTGTACAACCCCGATATGCGCGTTGTAGTTAGCCAATCGACGGCCAAATGGAGTAGTACTGTCAGTTGGGAGTTCAGCCTGCCCCAAGTTGCCTTCAGGACACCGAGCAACTCAGATCTCGACCGCACTATGAACGACCCTAGTGCCGATGTTAACACACCCAGGGTCAAATTTGCGTGGAGGAAAGAAGGCAGGCTGGGCAAGGACATGACATGTTACATGGTCGGAAAGTCAACAGACCCCACGGGCAAGAAGGCCAAGAAGAGCAAGGAAGGCGACATCGCTGTGGCCATGTTCTCCGGTCTGAAAGAGCTGACAGTCATGGAGCCTAACCTGTACCGCGTCGAGCTCGAAGATTATAAAGGCCTGGAAGTCACACTGCTCCTCGGCGCAGCTGTCATTCGCGACTTGTTCTTCAGCGATCTGAATGAACAGTTTCATATCAACCGCATTGGCGCCCGCAAGAACAGTGGAGGACTCCGAGCCAGAAAAGGCTCCTCTCCCCTAGAGGCGCCAAACGTCACCAAACCAGTCATGACGCCAGAACCCCCGCCACCCCCAGCCTACACGCCTTCTTCATCACAATGCCCACCCGAGAAGGCACCGCTACCCGATGCTGGAGCCTCACGCCCCAGTCGCCAACCGCCACCACCCTCATATACAAGCAACAATGCTGCAAAGCGTGCTTCGCTTCCACCTCTTGTCACAGGTCAGAATGGTCCGAGCCAACGCCCTCAACTGCAGCGACCCACACAACCCCCGCGGCCTGCACAGCCACACCATCCACAACATCCACAACAGCCACCACGACCCACACAGTCCTTGCGACCCACACAGCAACGACAACCAGGTCCACGACTGGATCCGCGGTCACAATGGGAAATTGAAGCAGAAACCGCTCGCCTAAGAGCCCAAGTAGAGGCTGAGGAGCGTGAGCAGAAACGCAAAGCCGAGGCGGACCGCAGAGCGCGTCGGAAGCGGGAAGAGGAGCAAGAACGCAAGACTCTGCAATTCCTTGAACAAGAACGAAAACAGAAAGAACGAGAAGAGAAGGAGCGACAGAGGAAGAAGGCAGAGGTCGACAAGGAGACGGAGCGCCTCAAGAAGCAGTTTGGGGACCAGTCGAACTTGTTCCGTCCATCCCCACAACCCCAACGACACTCGGCCCCATTTGTACCAAGCGTAACGCACCAACGTCCCAGTCCGGCGGCACCTCGACCAGTTCCTGGTCCAGTGCAGCCTCCGCATATACAAATGCAACCGCCTCGTGTACAAGTGCATCCACCCACCCAGCAGCGGCCAGCGGTAAACCAAACAAGCTTCCTCAGCAACGGTCTGCCCAAACCCATTGCCAAAGCCAAGAAGAGCTTCTGGGGTCTTAGGTCCCAGAGTGAGTCGAGCGCAGAGAAACTAAAGAAGAAGAAAAGCAGCATGTTTTGATTCAAAAGTGTTAGTCATGAGTATTGTATGGGGTCTGTTTTTGCCTCCGCTAGATATTTCAGTGTTGATGGCCTGTATGATGTATATACCCACCTTGGAGTTTTTCCTTGTTTGTTGGTCAGTTTTCCGCTGGAAAGGGCGTATGGGATTATTCGGCGTATTGGTTTTTGGATTTGTTCCACTACGTATATGACATGGCTGTTTACCTTGGACAATATACTTTGATATGACCGGATGCCCTCTACAAACTATCCCGAGACTGAGTTTCACACCACTAGATAGCACGAACTGTAAGCAAAGTGATGCCGTGAATGGATGGGAGGCCAGCTATGCAGAAGCGACCACGCTAGCACTAGGTACCCGTTCCTACCATAAGTAGGTCTACTAGCGTGTCCGGTTCCAGCTCCTCGGCTCAAACGTATCAATTCAACGCCTCTATCACCTAACACATCCCCACTCAATCTCACGCGGATACTGAACATGAAATTTTAAAATTGAACCCATCAACATGCTCTTCGCACCACCTTTCGCCGTCTTCTCCGCACGTCCTTTGCTCGGTCTGTGGCTTGTCTAGGCTAGGTTGTGCCAAGACTAAAACTTGCTCATTGAGCACATTATCCTGGGGTCTGTCTGCAGGGTCGCAGCTATAGCTTGCGCCACAGCATTCTCAGGGCTAGGACAAGTGGTTCGCTACACCGTAGTCTAGATTCCTGAATGTCAGTATCGACTGTAATTGGTTCACTTCACGCATGTTTCTTGTTGCCCCACGGTGTGAGTGTGAAAGACCGACTGGAAAGAAACACCGCGACTACTTGGCAGCGGGAAGATGGAAGCAAGCTCCGCTAGTATTGGGGGAAGAATGGCAAATTGGGCTGAGGAAAGTGGGATTGGAGCTTCATGTATAAAGGCCATGGCAGCTGCACGTCAGCTTTCGGTACGCCTGGTGGATACACTAACCTCTGCCTCTCTCGCTCTCCTTCTCTTTCACCCTGCTGTTGTCAACCTGGGTCTCTCATCTCAATAATACATTCAACCAAGATGCTGTCAAAAACTCTCTTCGTCGCCGCCGCCATGGTAGCTGGCGCCAATGCTCATTTCCGTCTCCTCGAGCCCTTCTGGCGAGGCAGCTCTTTCGCAGCGTCAGCCAGCCAGTACATCTACCCATGTGCCAACGTCAATGAGACTACCGACGTGTCAAACCGTATGTGTACTCTTTCTTTAGATGCTGATGGAAACCAACTTACCAAACATACAGGCACTGTATGGCCCGTAACTGGCGGCTCTACTCTGATCAACGGCTCCCACGAACATGCCCTCACAGCAATCAACCTCGCTCTCGGCACCAACGTAACAAACTTCAACATCTCGCTCGTTGAAATGTTCAACCAGACCGGCGCTGGTCTTTTCTGCCTCAAGGAAACTGGTCGCGCAAACCTCGAAGCCGGATTCAAGGCCGCTGGCTACTCTGGCTTCGACGACCAGCGCATCAACGGACTCATGGGAACCATCCAGGTCATTCAGCTTGGTCACTCTGGAAGCGCACTGTACAACGTAAGTGTTCACATATGATCTTTTGTAAACCAAGCCAGCGGGGATCTGACAAACATGACAGTGCGCCGACATCATGTTCAACTCGACTGCCCAGCTCCTCTCCGACGACCAATGCCAGAACAGCACCGGAGTCTCTGGCGTCGCGATTGCAAACGTGGGATCCGAATCGCAGGGTGAGGGTGGCAACGGCACCTCTGGCCAGGCTCCTCCGCCCACAGGTGCGGCAGGTCATATTAGCCCAGCACTTGGCACGACGGTGCTTGCGGCGGTATTGGCTTGGGGACTCCTGTAGAGTTATGTCATTACATAGTATTCGACCAGTGTCGGATAGAGTGAATTTGAAATGTTTAATGAGAAAGAACCCGTGTTTTTGAGTTTGATCCATTGATGTCGTTGCTTGGCCCGTACACAAAAACCAAGAGTAGCAGCTGGTTGAAGTATCGCCTAGGTTTCTTTGAGTGGGTATGATTTCGTACATCAACACGCCAGAGGTATACGCCCAGTCTTATTGTCTGAGAGGGCTCACGTGATGTTGTTGATATCCTAAACATAGCTTAGTACTATATCAGGGAGGGAAAACAACATCTTTACTGCTCTTCCGTAGATTGTACAAAGCTAGTGGAAACTAAAAGGAATCTAGAGAGTGTAATAGCGGCACTAAAGAATATTCTCGTGCGCAGTGCTAGGCCCATCAGATCGTAAGCGTAGAGTTAGTATTACGCAATTGTATATAAAAGTGATTGTTGGTGCTTGCTCACTTTGAGGATAGTATTGCTGAATGTTATTAGATATAAGGGTGTTGGAGAGGTGCTTAGTTAGTACTTCGCTGGATGTTACACTCTGTCAAATCTATCAGTAATGAAGGTAGTATTCAAGCATTGTGATGTTACATCACGTGCATGTGGTCTTTCTTTTATCCTAATCTCCCCAAGCCCTGCATGTCTTCCCCGACTGGTACAGATTAGTGTCCAGAACCAATGTACTCTTTTGGTTAGCAGGAGCATACACAAAAGATGTGCTTGACTCAATCAAGATCTTTCAGCGTCACGTGTGGGCATTCTGTTAGCTGCTGAGGTTTTGATTGGATCGCTACAAACCCACGTCATGTACTTGTCCCACTCGAGCTGTCAAAACCTTGCTCCTTCAACCGTACAGCCACGCAGGAGCGGCTACATCGACTTCGGTGTCACCGAGTAATGGTAAGTCACTAACCACGTTATTTGGATCCTACAAGGCGTTTACCGCTCTTTCAATGATACCTTTCTACAAGTCTACAATCTACCTTTGCATAACCGAGTGCGTAGGATTCGGCGACGTCACAGCTGCACCTGCATCATCAGGAGATGTCGAGAAAAAATCGAAGTGTCATTCGCTGTTGGCTGGCCTGCTGGGAAGGTCAGCTCTGCACGATGCATATGCAAGAGCGTTACCAGGCGGGACTAATATCAAAAACGGAGAGCGGCCACACAGATAGTGCATGCGTCCCAATCAACCCCTGCTCTTGGCTTCGCTTCTAGAAAGAACAGCCGGCGTTTGCAAAAAGCTCTTGAATATCCAACGGTGATTGGTTAAAAAGCTCCAAGAGACGGTGAGACCATATCCTTGCCGCACGGTTGCATGTAACCTGCATCCTATCGCTCGTAGGGCTGATCTAGGGCTGACATGTGCTTGAAACTCTTGCCGACGATCCTTTTGCTGCACTTCGGTTTCGTCGCCGTTTTGTTGCTCGCCGTCTTGTCGCTCGCCGAGTAGTACGGTGGAGCCGTTACCGCTACTCAGCCCAGCATGGGTCTGCTAAATATGACAGTACGACATGGGTCTTCACTTATGCAGGTGCGGGAGGATCGAGAGCAAAATTGTCTCCGGCAGCGTGGAAAGTGTAAGACATTGCCAAAGACTCGGAGTCGAGACGATCACTGTGCGATGCTGCCTTCATGGTTTAGAACATCAGCAGCCAGCAAAACCATTTTTCGGTTACTCGGCAATACGGAATTTCAATCTGGGCAGAAACCATGGCGCTGGATACTCGATAAAGAAATCTTGTACGAGTTCCTGTTGGAGTAACATGCCGCAAACTAGACAGTAGGAATATGGCTCGACATAGCCTCAACGCCAGTGGATGTGCATTTGCGTGCAGACAGCACCGACACCGTAGTGTCAGCATACAGACTGATGCACGCTCTCTAAGCTACAAGTCCGCTCAGTTGATGGGGTGACAGGATATGAGTCGGTCAGGCTTTCAGCGGGAGAGGGCCAAAGCGGCTAGTAGCGCTCCGCCCCAAAGGCTAATCTAGCCGTGTGCACTGGCTGGACATGTTCACTTTCCCACAAACAACAGCCCTGCCCGTCATTGTGCACCACCACATGGCCGTCGGATTCGTCTTCAGCTTGTGGGCACGGCTGAAAATGTCGGGCCAATGCAGTGTCCTCCGATCCCCGTCTTACCTGGCTCTCCGCCCTTTGTGACAAGCGGGGACTGTTGTTGCATGGATTCGGGAGCGCCGCATGCAGCTGATTCGCAGCGGCATGTAAGCCAGTAGCACCCTTGTGTCTGCATGCCCCACTTGTTTTCTGACCAGCTCCTAGAATACCTCACCATGCATGGCAGCTTGTGATGCCTCATTTGGGGGCTGAAAGGTACATTATCACTTCAAAATGTTTATAAGCCACCACTCAGCCCCTAATGGACGACATACGCTCCAGCAGGTCTAGCTAGTCCCTGAACACTCAGGTTGTGGTGCTAAATTGACAATGGCATCGAACGGCACGCACAACGACTTTGTCAACATTACTACATCACATTCACGCGCGCCCAGCATGGTTCAGGAAGCACCTGCATTTTTGCCGCGTCCGCGGCTACCAGTCAGAAAGCAAGCGCCACAAAAGAATATCGACGATTTCTGGCACAAATTTACCACCAAACACCCTGGAAAGATCTTCACCATATTACCCGACAATTTGTACGCCAAACGAGCCGCCGCACATACACCAAAAGGATCCATTCCAGGAGTCAACGCACTCGCATCCTACGAAGAGGCCAAGGAGGCTTGTATCAGGAAGGTCGCAAAGATTGTCAAAGAATGCCGCAGACTGAACCAAAAGTACCGAGATCCACATTTCGATATCGAGGCAGACTTTAAACGGTCACAAGCCTTTCCTGATATACCAGCCGACTGTTTGACCGGATTGAACGAAGAAACCACCACTTTCTTTCCGCAATCAGTGAAAAGAGTAGAGGTTTGTTTTTGGGTTGTCTTTGTAAAATCCGTCGCTAATTGTACTAGGACATCTTTGACAACCCACAATTCTATATTGGCGGCGCAACGGCAAATGACGTGCGTCAGGGCAATGACGGCGACTGCTGGTTCATGTCGGCGTTGGCGACCATCTCAAACAAGGAGGAACTGATTCAACGAGTGTGTGTCGCTCGCGATGAAAAGGTTGGCGTGTATGGCTTTGTCTTCCATCGAGGTAAATGACCATCACGATCGGATGTCTGCACATAAACTAACGGCGTCCAGATGGGGAGTGGATTTCCGAAGTCATTGACGACAAGTTGTATCTCATCAAAGAAGACTTTGACGAAGCAAAGCTCGAGCGTCATCATTGGCTCGAGTTACAAAACCGCAAGAGTCCCGAGGAGGAATACCGTACCGTCATGCAAACTGGTTCCAGGGCGCTTTACTTTGCACAGTGTAGCGACCCTAACGAAACATGGCTTCCGCTGCTTGAGAAAGCCTTTGCCAAAGCCCACGGAGACTACAGTGCCATAGATGGAGGTTTTGTAGGTGAGGGTATCGAAGACCTTACTGGAGGTGTAACTTCAGAGATCTTCACCACTGATATCCTCGACAAGGATCAGTTCTGGCGAGAAGAGCTTATGAACGTCAACAAGACCTTCCTTTTTGGATGTGGCCAGATGGGCGGCATCTATGGCTCACGCAAAGGCATTCAAGAGAAGCATGCATACTCCGTCATGGAAGCTCGGGAGATAGACGGTCAACGTTTGTTGAAGCTGCGCAACCCCTGGGGCCGGTCAGAATGGACTGGACCCTGGAGTGATGGATCTGAAGAATGGACCCCTGAGTGGATGCAGAAACTAAACCACAAATTCGGTGATGATGGCGTCTTCTGGATCTCGTACAAGGACCTACTTCGCACCTACCAACACTTTGACCGTACACGGCTCTTTGGTCCAGAGTGGACCGTTTCGCAGCAATGGACCAGTGTGAACGTCCCTTGGAGCGTCGACTACCTGGACACCAAGTTCAAGATACATCTTGCCAAGGGCGGCCCGGTGGTGATTGTGTTGAGTCAACTGGACGATCGCTACTACCAGGGTCTTGAAGGGCAGTATGAGTTTCACTTGCAGTTCCGCCTCCACAAAGATGATGAAGAGGAATACATAGTCCGCAGCAACGGAACGTACTACATGAAGCGCTCAGTCTCGACAGAACTCGAGCTCGAAGCTGGCAACTACACCGTCTTGCTGAAGATCAAGGCTACAAGAATTCCTGAGAACCCCACACCGGACGAGGTCATTAGAACCACCTGTGCCAAGCGTCGCGAGAAGCTTCTATCCATTGGACTGTCATACGATCTTGCTCATGCCAAAGGTCAATTCAGAGAGCAGGAGAAGGAGAAGCTGGCGCGTGATAAAGAAGAGCGCATTGAGCGCAAGAAGGCTGAGATGAAACGAACACACGAACGTCAGAAGAGAATGCGCAAGCGAGAGGCGCTCCGTGACCAGAAGAAGGCTGCCAAGCAGACACATCGAGCGAACCGTTCCGGCGACATACAAGAAGTCGAAAGGAAACTGCGTGCTCTCCGCGGTCTTGGTATCAACGCCGAAGAAGAACCTAGGACATCTGGGGATGAAGAATCGAAGCCCATGCATCAAGCTGTCACCAGACACCATCGTGCGTCTAGCACTGGCGCGATCCGTGAACGAGCAGACAGTACTAGTGGGAGCTTTACCGGCCGAGGCGGCTACAACAAGGGCCGAGATGGATACAATGCTGCTCTACCCGGTGCCCTTCAAGGAAGAGGCGGCTACAATTACAGCCCGCAAGCCTCACCTGGTCTCCACAACCAGGGCTTTCAAGGGCGAGGAGGCTACAACCAGAATATGCCCGGGGAATTTCAAGGAAGAGGGGGATATAACCAGAACATGCCAGGCGAACTCCAAGGAAGAGGAGGCTACAACCAAAACATGCCAGGTGAACTACAAGGCAGGGGTGGCTACAATGCAGATCTTCCTGGTGCGTATCAGGGCCGTGATGGCTACAATGGACGCGATGGATATAACGAGGTGCAATTGACGGAATCGCCTTTACCTACACCCATGCCTACGCCATCGGCTACAATGATGGACGATTTCCATCCACAACGATCACATAGCCCCCGACACTCTCCAGCTGCATCACGACGTGCAACACTTGCGCCTATTCCTGGTGTGCGACCTGGTATCCAGGTCAGTCCCGGACTTAGCACAAGCGAGTTCTCTCATAGGGCTCAAGATGGATTTGGATATCCTAACGATACTTCTGACGACTCGTCTTGGGACTCTGAGATTGACGGCCCCTGCTCGCTCGACTCTAGTATCTGTGATGGCGAAGACGAGAACGAATTTTCCGAGCAGAGGCCACGGTACGTCTGGTACAATGGTATGCGCTATCCTTATATTGAAGAGGTGGATGAATTTGAGCGGGATCCATGGAACGCGGTCTGCGTCGTTGGTCTGCGTGTCTTTAGCAAGGACAACACAGATGTCACTATTGAGGTGCACAATGGCGAGGGCGACCGTGCGAAGAAGAGTGATGGTGACGATTCGAGCGTCATTAGCATGGCCACTGTCCGACGGAAGGAGAAAGAGCTTGATGTCGACGACAGTGCGGCTGATGCTACCAGTCCGTTACGTAAGAAGAATACGGGACTAGATGATGAGCTCAAGTCTCGTGCGATGGAACGGGAATCATTGGATCAGGTCGGCTCTGCACCTGCAGGTTTGGAGCTGAATAGGCAGGGGACTTTGAGTTGAGCTGGTTGTTGGAAATGACTGCGGGGTGGCGTCATGGTTAAATTGATCATGGAGGAATTCTGTTTGTTATAGAGACTTTGCTTTTGTGCGCTGGACGCGGTTTTGTACGGCCAGGAGTTGACAGGAAAAGGTGTTTATTCATGTTGGCAATATAAGACCGGTTTATCCCAGAAAACGTAGTCTTTGCTTGGTTGCTTAGAAGTGATTCCGTATGTTGACCAAGTGGAGCTAAAAAAAGGTTGTTGCCAGCACGCTACAACCCCTCTTACCGCCCCACCCCACCACTGACCCTGCATTTCGCTCTACGTCAATGATCAGCCCAACATGCGCGCCCAGTAACCCAGTTTTACCCTTGTGACATTCATTCTCACCTCTACTTTCTCCTTCCTCTCCTACTTTCTCTCCCCAGTTCCCTCGTCATTTTCCATTCATGAAGTAGTTATCCTGCGGCTGTTGGACACAGTCATCTCGTCCCTGGAGCATCGCGTGCGTCATCGGTGTTGTGGCCTTGTTGCGACTCTGCGCTGAGACCGAGAAACATTTGCGCCTTGTCTCTCTTTTCGTTCTGCAAAATGGAGAGTAATCTTTCTGCCGCCCGGGCATCCCGACGTTTCCTCGATGAGCGCGTTCGCAACGACTGGGATTACCCGGATCCGGCGGTTGAGTGGTCAGCCTCTGACGAGCAAGTACGCGATGCTGTCGATTTCCGCGAACGATACTATGGCGAGTCGGAGTCTGGGGACTCGGACAACGAGGACCAAGATGGTGCACCGTACAAGTTTGACAGTCCGGAGAGCATCGGTGACGCGGTTGCGCATACCCGCGAGGCGCGCAAGAGACGGCGTAGGGAGCGCATGGAGCGTGAGATGAAGGAAAACGAAGGCTTGCGTATCTGGGTAGAGCGAAGAGATGTATGGACAGGCGCAGCGAGTGTCAGAAAATACGGCACAGGTCGGCAGCGTCAGGGAAACCGACCGTCATCTGTAACAGGCTCTTCGTCTGAAGAACATGCCACCACTCCAGCAGGCTCCGAATCGCAGTCCGCCACAAGCGCAGCACCAGAAACGTATGACCTCGTACCTGTTGCACCCCGCCTCCTCGACCAGAACCCCATCCGCGCCTCCATCACCCCACAAGCATATCCCGACATTTACCAGAAAATCGTCGTCTCATCACGCACCCCTTCAGTTCCCATCAACCTCGCAGACATGACAAAGGCGTTAGTCCAGGGCTGGAAAGACGCAGACGAGTGGCCTCCGCGCGTTGCAGCAGCAGACCCCCTTGCGGGCAAGAAGCGCGTCATTACTGGTCCTCCGTCAAACGGAAATCATGTAGGCTTCATTGCTAGACATCCGCATCTGGAAAAGGGGGTTGACGGCATGAAGCGGATTTTACATCTTAATGTACAACACAATCATGAAAACGAGCATGCAAAAGATGGGTGAAGTTTGGGGGTTGCTTAATGGGTAGGGGGTTGATGTCAGGAGCCTCTCTTTTTTTTCTTCTCCCTTTTGCACTCAGGGTGAAGAATTAATCATGGGTTTCTTCTTCGTTTTTTGAACCCCTGTTTCCGTCTGAGAACAAATGCGACTGAAGTATTTCCCGGTCAGTGTAACTCGAAGCATAGCCACAGGAGCGTGCATGTAGTAGCAAAGTTCCGCCATTTTCCCCTTTTTTTTCTGTTTTCTTACATAAGGAGGAGATGCAGGAATTCCGGTATACCCCCATGAAATGTATTTCCATAGCTTGGTACTTTTTCTTCTTTACTGCGATTCGCAAGCGGAGGGAGTTGGCAGAGTAAAGTAAACAAGAAAGCCTGAAATAGCATGTATGACCGCTTTTTTTTTCCAAATGGCCAACAAAAACAGTACTACCCACTTTTTTTTTCCATACTACCATGTCTCCCCATCTCAAGCATGTGCCACAAAAGCACAATAGCACACAACCCACTTCCGCATAATCCATGCTCATTCCCGCACCATCCATCCATCCCCCTCCCCCGCCGACACCTATCGGCCCATCGGCCGCTGCTCCGACACACACCCACCCTCGCCCTCGAGGGCACTCCACTCTGCTCCTTTTCCCCAAAATGGACCACTTCCATGCAGCTTGTCCAGAGACGAACCACAAACAACCCCGGTACCGCCATTTAAGCGGTAGAAGCCCCTCCAACCAACCAAACATCCCTGAGCCTAGTACTAGTTCTATGCCCCAGCCCCAGTTTTCGCTCCATTACTAGATGATTTCGTACGAGGGATTCGGAGTCTTCGGGTTCCGAGGGTGTGTCCGAATATGCCTACCAGAATGGGCGAGGAGATGATGCGTGTTCAAGCAAGTAGCGGGTAGCTACGTCGATGAGCATTTTTGGTGATTGCGATGGGTAGGTATGACGATTGCGCGTGGATAGTCGAAAAGTGGAGTTGGATAAGAGGGGAAGAAGGTGGTGGTGGTATAAGTATTGCATGCCTCAGTCCCTTCTCTTGTTACAAATTCATTCTGCAAATTCATATCTCTCGTCCTTCTTTCTTTTTTTCTCTTGGTTTATCAAAGAGGTATTTTTTTTTGAAGAGAAACTATGCCTGGTGCTATATCCGATGATACTCGTACCCCCGCGCCTGCGGAGGGCGTTTGTGGGATTTATCATATTACGCATCCGCGCTCGGCGTCGAATTTGTTCCAGAACATGATGGGGAAGCAGCCTGGGTTCCAGTATTCGAGCTATAAGTTGTTTGGGGCTGGGTTTGGGGCGTTGGCGCAGTTGCAGAGGGGGCCGTTGGGGGAGTGGCCGGAGGAGGATCGAGAGAGGTTGTTTGGGCTGTTTGAGGCGGGGTTTGAGGGGATGCAGGACGAGGTTGCAGGGGCGATGGAGGGTGTAAGTTTTAATTTCTTTGTTCTTTTGCTCTTGGTGTTTTTTTTCCCTGGGGGATATGCAGGGAGAAAAAGGGAAAGAGAGAAGTTGTGTTGGGGTGGAGTCCTCGGGCCATATGTATGGTCGGGACATTTACATGCGATTCGGAGTAAACGGGCTCTTGCGAATCTCAGCCTCGAGATTGCGTGCTCCCCTCTTGGCTCGCATGATAAGGCATCCAATCTTCTTATCGAATTGATACCAACTGACATTGTATTTGTCTAGGGCAAAAAGGTGTTTATGAAAGAACATGCAGTCTTTCTCTCCGCCGGCGATAAACTCATAGGCCGCGTCTACAAAGACGACAATGTCGCACCCTTAGTCCTACACGAGCGCGGTGTCGCACCCAGCAAGTCGTCTCATACGAATCCGACTTCGCTGCCCGATAGTTTCCTGCTGAAGTTCCAGCCGATCTTCCAAATCAGACATCCAGTCCTCATGTTCCCCTCGCTTGTCCGCGCACAAATGGACGTCAAGGTAGCAGGCCGTCCCCGCGACCCCATCTGTCAAGTCATGCTTCAGCTGCGCGACTCACGCTCTCTATACGACTGGTATGCTGCTCAAACCGTAAACACAGGAATTACCCCACGCGTCATTGATGCCGACGACGTCATGAGCGATGCAGCCTCCATGCGCAAACTCTGCTTAGAAACAGGACTCGATCCCGATTCCATCGTGTATCAATGGGAGGAGCGCGTAGTCGAGGACCCGATGCAAGCAAGGTTCTTGTCTACCCTGGCAAAGAGTAAGGGGATTGTAAAGGGCTTGGATGCTAAAGGGAAGAGTGTAGAGGGGGAGATGGAGAAGTGGGTTGAGGAGTTTGGGAGGGAGGATGCGGAGGAATTGGCGAGGTTGGTTGAGAAGGCTATGGGGGATTATGAGTATTTGCATGGCAAGAGGACTGTTGCTGGGGAGACGGAGTAGATGTGTGTATGAGGGTTTGGAATGAGTGTTGGAAGGCGAATCATGGTGTAAAACGCGAATGTAGTGAATGTGTAAAATTGCTGCACGTATGTAGTTTTGAATTGTATCACAGCAAAAACGACCGACTTTGTCGGCTGGAGGCCTGGAAATTATAGACAGATAACAGAGGAATAAGTTTCCTTCCCTGCAATATATGAAAGCAAGACCAGCTTTTTTAGTCGAGTTTGATCTTCTCCATCAGTAGCGGGGTAGTGGTTTTTTCCTAGGCAGTTCTACTGCAAACCGCAATTTTGGAAAGCGCGAATTGATCAGATAGTACAACATACATTGTGACTTTAGTCAGTCAGAATCGGTTCACGAATCAAGAAGTCCTAGTAGTTTCACAGCATTCACAAGCAAGCCTAGGTAACAAGAAGCGGCTAGCAAAAGTATGGAGATAATTGTAGAAAGTATCAGACACGTGATCGCACCATACATTATAACCTCGGGCATCCTCGGCACGACTCCAACATCCAAAACTGTATAAAACAAACACCTAGATACTTGACGAGCCGGGTGGCGCCACTATGAGCTCACTTGCAGTTTCCAGAACGACATGACAAGCCCGTAAAATGGTGTGCGATGCGTGAGAAAGATCGTATTCGAGTCTAAGGCCCAATCCAGCGATGACAATGACATCTTACAAGGCACTCTCTACGAGCCCCACATTCCGATCGTTGCACGTTTACGTGCGGGGTGTTCGTACGCACCCAACCCCCCCTTGTTCGTGAGATCATACAATGCCAGAACGGGTAGTAATCGTGCCTAGCGTGACTCTGAAAAAGGTTTTAGCTTACGCAGGCTTTCTTACTATGTATGCGCTACGAATCTGTTCAACCGCCTTCCATCGCACTTGAATCGTAAGAGTGTTCGTAGCGCTCATCTTGTATCTTTCTTTTGACCATGACAAACTCTGAAATAGATCGTATAACAGTAGTATATTGGAATCATTCTATTGAAGCTAACAAACTTTGCAAAGCGGTTGCTGAATAGCAGTGGCTTCCTACGGGATCGTGTCTGTCGTAAATTGCGTAAGATGGTATGTACGACACCCAAACTCCTGAACGGCCTGCCTGCTGTTGAAAAAGAATCTGATCGCTAAGAAGCAGCACAGGTGATAACGGTCGAGAAACGCATGAGCTCAAAGTTTCAATAACGCGCCTTTGCAGCGTTGGTGCAACTGCAGTCTCCACAGCTTGGTTTCGTTCAGCAAGAAGACTTGTCCGTCTTTACCGAAACAAAAGTTGGCGACACCGCCGTCAACCAGGACTTTTGCCAGCAAAACACCACCGGGAGACCAGATGTTCAGTCCATCTCCACATCCACTGTAGACATTGCCATCCAAATCGCACTTGATGCCATCGGGAACACCAGTATCGGCCATGGCAAATAGCCGTCGGTTAGTCAAAAACGGTTGGCCAGAGTAAGTCTGCACATCAAACGCATATCTACAACCACTTGTCAGAAAATTGTCATCACAACACCCAGAAACCACTGAGAATGACTAACATCACTCCTCCCTGGGAAAAAAAGGTAAAGTGGAATACAGAACTTACATATGCGACACCCTCGCATCATCCGTCGACCCATCCCCATGAATCCAATCCGTGTCCGTCACATACACAACCTTCTCATCAGGACTAAAACAAATCCCATTCGGCCTCCCAAACCCATCCGCCACAGCGCGTATACCCCCCGTAGCAGGATCAAACCGATACACCTGATTCGGCAGTCTAGGCTTGGGCCGAATCTTCTGCTCAAACCCATAGTTGGGGTCTGTGAACCAGATCGAGCCGTCAGAGTGCACAACGACGTCGTTAGGCGAGTTAAAGGGGCGGCCGTGGAAGTCGCTGACGAGAAGTTTGGCTTCGTAAGTAGTAACAGTAGATGACGAGGAAAGGGGATTTGAACAGCGCATGTAGGCTATGCCGCCGGGTGTATCGAGTGTGCCCTGCGAACAGAATAGAATGCCATCTTGATAGTTTACGCCGCCATTGGCCATGTGCACGTTTTTGACGTTGACCTCGGCGTACTTTGCGTCGGTCCTGGTGGCATCCGCAGGCAGCTGTATGCGCGAGACGTGGATGTGGGTTTTTCCCGTAGCAGGGTGCTGGTACTGGTTGCTCGTCACGAAAAGGCAGTTTTCCTCAGGAATGAAAACGCCGGCTTCGTGGGCAAACGGGCACTTGTCATCTTCGAGTAGCACTTCGAGTTTGGGGTCGTGGCTGAAGAGGTCTTTGGCTGCCTCGTCGTAGATCCGCAACCACGAGGGATTGGGACTCATTGCTGAGGAACGTGTGTTTTTTTAGGGATATGCACTAGACGGATTTGGGTGAATTAGTGTAGGAATAAGGTTTCGGTCGTGCGTGTCGGTTGAGGCTTTTACCCCGGACTGTCAGCTTTCGCAAGAGGGCAACTTGTTATAACACGCGAGCGGGCGTGTTGGCGAGCGTTGAGTCGGCGTTTGAACGAGCAGGATAACGATCACGCGACGGGACGAACTGGCGCGGTTTTTGATGATTCAATCGCCGACAAAGCTTCTTCTAAGTGCTTTAGTTTGCCGGTCGGCGCGGCGTTTGAAGCAGGCTTTTTACGGGTTTGGAAGGGTTCGTGATGCGCTGGACCCAGAGCAACGCCGGAGTTTCGGTCCTGCGTCGGTCAGATTAATAGAGGGCAGGTAAAGCAGTCCACGAGCACTGGTTGGCTGAAAAAAACGGCTTTACCCTAGGGCCGAATCATTACGTGCAAATACGCGTTCGGAACTAAGTTGGCTGGATGACATGGCGGGCAGCCTCCATCTAAACCTTCCTACGCCTAGCATGTGCGTGTGGATAGCACGATCTGGTATACTATGACCTTGAACGGCTTCGCCCACCCAACTAGCCCGGTTACTAGCGACTGACTCGATCACCGCCTCGAATCAACACTTGCCGTATGTAGCATCCTCTAGGGCGTTAGACAAACGGGCTAGACCCCAGCATTACCCCAGAGGCCACCAAAACCCGCGGGATATGTATGACTTTGCCGTACCCATGGGGAAGGGGGCCCCGCAAACTCGCGATCGCGACCCATGCTTTCCAGAAGGACCGTTTCTCAAGGTCCATGTATATATATGAGATGGGAAGACGTCCATGCATGCACCTTGTGAAGAAACTCTTTTCGCATATTCCTCCCACTCAGCGGTGGATGTGAACTTGGCACATTCGAACAAAACCGCAGTTGAGAACCTTTCTTCCATCATGCCTGAACTCAAGGGTCGAGCGCTTTTGCTCACTGTTAATCTTCTTACCTCCCTCGGGTTCATGTTGATTGGGTACGACAATGGACTCATGGGCGGTCTGGTCGGTGCGCCGGCGTTCAGGAAGACGTTTGATAATCCGTCGTCGGACATGATTGGAACTATTGTGGCTATTTTTGAGAGTAAGTGACCAGAGAAATTATAGACTTGGACACATACTAATGAGCGACTATAGTTGGTTGCTTTGTCGGAGCCATGGCCACAGCTTTCTTCGGAGAGAACCTTGGTCGCCGCAAGAGTGTCGCCATCGGAGCCGTAATCAGTATGATCGGCGCCCTTCTACAAGCCACCGCATTTGGCCGAGCCCATCTCATTGTCGGCCGCATCGTCTCTGGAGTCGGACTCGGTATAATAAACTCTACGGTGCCCGTCATGCAAGCCGAGTTCAGTCCGAAGACCAGCCGCGGTGTTTACGTCTGCGCACAACTTTCCACTTTGAACTTTGGTATTTTCCTCGTATACTGGATCGACTACGGTTTTGTCAACCACACCTCGAGCTATGCTTGGAGAATTCCGACCATCCTTCAATGCATTATTCTGTTCAGCATTCTCTTCCTTACAACAGTCATCCCCGAGACACCTCGATGGCTCGCGTCACACGATCGCTCAGAAGAGTGTCTGTCGGTGTTGGCACGCATCCAAGGTACCAGCGAAAACGACGCTGTAGTCCAGAGACTCCACCAAACCATTACTGAAACCGTTGCCTACGAGGCGTCGCGACAAGCTGGCTGGAAGGATATCTTCAGGAGCGACCCTATCAAGTCGAGGAGGCGTTTCTTGATTGCTTGTGCTATTCAGATGTTCCAGCAACTCGGTGGTATCAACGCTATCATCTGTAAGTTCTGTATTAGCAATACCACAAAACTCTACTGATGAGATACAGACTACTCTGGCACTCTCTTTGAGAAGAGCATCGGATTCGACACTCACATGTCCGCCCTCATGAGTGGTTTCCTGCAAACCTGGTTCTTCGTCGCATCCTTCATCCCCTGGTTCCTAATTGACAGGATCGGCAGACGCCCGCTCCTGCTATCCATGATCAGCGTCATGGCGGCCGTCATGGCAGTACAAGCTGCTCTTATCTACCAGGTGCAATTCAAGACTGCCTCGGCTCACGGTGCGGGTATCGCTGCAGCTGCCATGCTATTCATCTTCCAGGGAGCGTTCACCATTGGTTTCCAAGCCACCGTTTGGGTGTACCCGTAAGTTTATCCCCGCTGAATATTCAAGGCGGCAAGAAACTGACTTGAAGCAGATCTGAAATCCTTCCCCTCCGCCTACGTCAGCGTGGTTCAGCTATTTCGACGGCAGCGAACTGGATTTGCAACTACGTAAGTTTGAGCATATTCTGAACGATTAAATAAACGTGCTAATACATTGGCTAGATCATTGTGCAAATCACACCCCACGCTATCAGCAACATCGGATGGCGCACATACATCATCTTCGCCGTCCTCAACGCTCTCTGGGTCCCCATCATCTACCTGTTCTTCCCTGAGACCAGGGGCTTGGAACTCGAAGACGTTGACCGTCTTTTTTCTCACGGGGAGAGCCACTCCGAGTTGCTGGAGAAGAGCAACGATACGGAGCGAGTGGAGAAGATATCGGATGTGAAGGAAGTAGAGCTATGAGCTATGACCAGGATACGGTGCAATAAATCATCAAGGTTATGATGTATATTTTGAATAATATCACCTGCGTGGCTTTCATGCTGCCTAAACGTAACATGCTTCCTGGAATTCTTTCTCAGTGCAGTGAAATGTCTGAATTACCCTAGTCAGAGTCAAGGTCAACCTTCAGGCTAGGATTAAGGTTAGGATCAGAAACCCCACATATCATCACCGTATCCAAAAACAAACAAATCAGAAATATTAGTCCAACATCTCCACAATCGTAGTAACTACTACATGCATGCCAAGAATAAGGGTCCTCCTGTCAATCGTCTTGGCAAAGGATCTGATACTACGCTTAATAAGTGGAGAAAAAAAAACGGTAAGTACATGACTAGCTCCCAGATATTGATTCTTCAATCCAAGTATAGTATGTCGTGTACCTATGATATCACGTGAGATCGTCTTAAAAAAATAACCACACCAAGATACCTTTTCCCCCATACCCCTCCCCTTTCCACACCCTCCACCTCCACCAGCTTAGTCATCCCCAGGGGGATCAGTCCTTCACACCTTCCTCACCCTCCAAACCTGCGCCAAATACGCATACCTCGTCAACGCCTTGACATTAAACCCATACTCCGCCTCCCTACTCCTCACCTTCCCCCCTTCAAACGTCAACTCCCCACACTCCTCTCCTAGATCCTCAAACGCAAACCCCATGGCCTCCACAACCCTTATAATCTCTTCCAGGGAAAGCTGGACAAAAGGACCGGTGCCATAGAGCAGCGGACCAAAGTTGATCCAGTGACCCCCCGGTTTCAAGAGGCGCGATATGGTATCGAAATAGGACATTAGATTTCGCGCGGTGTCGATGAAGAAGTGCGTGACAATGATATCGAAGGTTCCTTCTTTGTCGGCGAGAACGGTGGTGAAGTCGCCTTCGACGAGGAGGACGTCTGGGTGCGGTGCTATGTTTGGGGCGGAGATGGGGCGCAGCATGTCGGACTTTGTGGCGTGGTGCGACATTGCGTCGATAAAAGGGTGGAATATTAGTGTGTTGGGGGTGGTTTGGGAGTCCATGTAGCGGTAGCCGATATTCATGAACATGGACCATTCGTTGATGGTTACTTCGAAGCCTGCTGGGGGAGAGGTTTAGCAGGAAGCGTGGGGGAGGAGGAGGAGGAGGGGAAATACGGACCCCCTAGGTTGGCGATGTCGTGGCCGAGGCGACCTAGTCCGGAGCCGGGGAGTAAGACGCTGAGTTTAGTGTCTTCTGGGTATTCTGACTTGATACTTTCTATAGTACTCAAAATGCACGGAAAGGCTTCGTTTCTCTCCTTCAGCCCCTCGTCTGCCCAGTCTCGCACATAGTGTTTTAGCGTTTGCGACGTAGCAAATCTATCTGCTTGACGCCCGTCCTTCTCTGCCAGTGACATGTGATCATCGAGCTCTTTCTGCTCGATGCCGTAGAACTGCATGGCATGCTGTACCATGTCCCTGCAAATGGCTGCGTTGGTAAGAATCAATCTCTCAATCTCATCTAGCCTCTTCCTGTATCCAATAGTATTTTCTAGTGTCTGCAAAGTGATTAGTTCTATCTCAAGTACATGTCAATCCGAATAGCATGCCTTCATCTGCTTTTTGCTCACGCTCTTGTACAAGGTTCGCCATCGATCAAGCTCGGCCATGTGTCGTTCACGATATCGGGTGTATGCCCAAAGTGCCTCGAGTAGTCTGTATCGTGGATGGTTCGTTGTCCATTTCCCGCTCTTTCGATCCATCCGCTTCATGAGATGAGCTTTCTCATGTCTGTGGCGGGCTGTTCTTGGCACATGACTTGATGGCATCGCGCCCATCATTAATGGATTTTGTACTGACTGTGCATTTGCAATAGCTGCCGTGGCCTCATCCATCTCCAGCGCCGGTACATTTTCGGGATGTTGGGTTGTGCTAGCTTGGCTTGTACCATCGGCAGCTCCAAGCGAAGCCGATGCTACCCCAGCTAGAATTAGTAGCAGCAAGGACGATCGCATCTTCTAATGAACCAGAGAAAAGGCATGCATTCAGTCGAGGTCAGATATGTTAATTGAGAAATCAATTTTTGCGTGCGTGAGCGAGTACCTTGCTGTCTGCCAAGCAGCCGTCTCTGTTAGGCTGTACAATGTTGCACTTGGCAGCTGTGTTGTCGAGTGTTCAAGTCGGTGAAAATGGGTATTAGCAATATCGAAGTACAGATGATGTCATTGCGAACGAAATTAGATGTGAGGCTTCAGCATAGTTGGAAAGACAAGCCATACATGTTTGTAAAGCATACAGTGGACCGAGACCCGCATGCATAAGCGAAGTTCGGCTAGCGTCAGGGTATGACTACACTGATATGTAGAATTGCGATAGAAATACTTTTAAGTAGCGTACTGTACTCGATGCCCAGGTAAAATCCATGGCTGTGTTAGCTAACTTTAAAACAGGCAATCTGTATGTATCGAGACTAAAAGAAGACATGCCGACAAAAATTAAACCCTTCTTCTCGCCGCATTGATACAGAGAAACGCACATTATAATTGTCAGTATTGCGGGGAAAAGATTCATGCGCCAAAACAACCTATCCTACAAGAAGCCGAACTTTCACGCTGACTTGAAAATACGAAACCCCACCACTTAGTATCCAACTCCAACCTCACCTGGAAAACTGGCCCAGAATTCTTGGGTAGCATTCATCATCATGGCCTCGAGCTCCTCGTTTGTCAGGTCAAAGGAATCAAGGTTGAAAGTCTCGTCTGCTTCAAGAGGTGGAACTGCTGGTGGTGTGTTCCAGGACACATTGGGAGTGTAACTGCTGGGCGTAGCGGCCGTGGTAGGCATTGGGCTGCTCTGCGAGGGGTTTGTAAGGTTTGCGATTATGGGTTTGCGCTGGCGATGGGGTTAGCAGAGTTTGTAGAATGATTCAGAGGAGCTCACATGAATCTGATGATCCGTGGGCGAGTGGACCGAGGGAGCCAAAGGAGACTCATGAACTCTAGAAGATTCACTTGGCTTCTGTACTGGTGATGGCTGCAGCGCGCCGTAGTCAATCATGGCGTGGCGGAGAGCTTGGCGTTCTTCTGGAGACGCTGGGCCATCCTGGCCCAACACGGAGCGGTAGTAGGCTTGCATGCGCCTGATGGTGTCAAACTTGAGGGTTTGTTAGCATGCATTCAATTGTCATTATAGCATATACTTGCCCATGTTTCAGCCATTGGCCATTGTGTCTTCATCTCCTTGAGGAAGTTGCAGCCCTGGATGACGCTCTTTCGAGCCTTTTCCTGCCAGCGAGGGTCGTCGTCACCACTGGGGAAGTTGAAAGAGTACAGCATGGCGCCGACGGCAGTGTAAATGGTGAAGCCGACCCAAGGGACTAGTCCGCGGAGGAAATAGACACCGAACGTGCGCATCTCCTCGAGCATGTCGAGGACCATGACGGCGTCCTTGAACAGCTCTCTCCGGGAAGACCTCTCCCACTTTTTCCACATGTCGCGATGTTCATCGTAGGCGTTGTGCTTCTCCTCGGCACCAGCGCCATTCTGATGGGGGCCGAGAACGGGCAGATAGGCGCGATGCAAGAACATGTAGCTCATAAAGTGGATGCAGTGCATGTAACAGTAGGCTTGGCCTTGCTCAACGGCATTGTGGCTGTGAATGGTAAAGAGATCGTACTGGAGGCGCTGGGGCAGGGACGACTTCCAGCCCTCGAGCTCGTAGATGAGCTGTTGGAACTGCGACGATGAGGACCAGGGGAGCTCCGTCTTCAGGTCCTCGTTGCAAGCCCAGCGGGCGACCTTGCCCCAGATGTTTGCGGCGCGCATGCTGTAGCCAATGATGCCGATTTCGCCAATGGGCAGGGCCACAGGGGGCGTGCGCTTCGTGTTGTCGAGCTGGGGGGTGCACTTGGGCTCGCCAAAGACAAAGTCCTCGCGCTCGCAGGGCAGCTGGATGGACATGTCTGCGGCGGTCAATGACCTCTTACGGCCCTTACCGCCGCTCAGCAACGAGTCCATGAGGAAGCAGGTCCAGGCAGTGCGGCGGCGGACCTCTGCCTCGATGAACTCCTCGCGGGTCGGGACGCGGTTGCGGGGGATGCCCGTCTCGCGGGTCAGGTCCATGACTTCGACGAGGCGGATGGCCATGCCAAGGTAGATCCAGGCGCGTCTGCCATTGCCGGCGCCCCAGTCATGGCCAGTGAGCATGAGGAGGGCCTGGACGCGGCTGATGGAGGGCGTCTCGAGGTCCTGCTGCAGAATCTGGCGGGCATGGGCGGCGTAGGCATTGCTGGCCTCAGTCTGGGTGCGGAAGGGCGGGGGAGGGTCTTTGACGAAGCTACCAGGGGAAGGGAGGGAGAGTCAGCAGTGTGCTCGTGTTGGTGTTGGGTGAGGCAGGCAGGCAGTCAGGCAGGCAGGGCGGACATACCGGATGGCGAGCGCCAGCATCGCCCAGGCCATCCATGGCTCGAGGGTGCGGTCGCGGATGCGCAGCAGCAGCGTGGGGGTATGGTGGAAGCTCCACTTGTAGGAGCAGCGCAGGTAGCTGTTCTTGACCTCGTCGGTCAGCAGGTCGAAGGGATCGAGGCCGTCGAGCAGGGCAGCAGCAGATGCCGCCGTCGGCGAGGCCTGTGTAGCGGCAGCGATGCCGACCGGCACGGGTACGTCATTGCGGCGGCCCTGCTGGGGCGCGGCGAAGGAGGTGGAGTGGTGTGCATTTGCATGTGGCAGCGAGGGCGGCGTATCGCCTGCGTCTTCAGAGTGCCGTGGCCGTTTGGGCTTGCGGTGGATGGCACTCGTTCCGGGCGCTGCTCTCACGGTCAGTCAGAATCAGAAGACACTCACACACGCACACACGGCCCCAGCAGCCTCGCCACGGCCACCACCACCACCACCACCATAACAACCTACCTGGGAACTCGCACGCGTCGGCCCGCCCGCTCTGCTTGCATCTGTCGCACGGCGGCCGGTCCTCGTGGATGCACTTCTGCTTGGCCGACCGGCAGGACACACAGGCTACGGGATTGCGCATGTTGGCGATGCTGAGGGCATGGCTCAGCAACGAGGACGACAAACGGCACCTTGACTGCCCACTGCCTGAGAGCCACCACGGACTCTGAGGCCTTATCCCGGCCGCCCGCCTTGCCTGCCCTGCCCTTGCCTGCCCCCTTTCCGCCCGTCGCTCCTCGTCTCTTCTCTCTTCGCGCCTTCATCATGGTCCTCGTCGTTGTAATCATTTTCATCACTTTCATCATTTTCATCATTTTTCCTCTTCTTCTTTTTTTGCCCCCCTTTTTTTTAACCTTTTTTTGCCTTTTTTTATTTTATTCCATTCCCTTCATCGCCTCTCGCCTCCCCCTCCTCCTCCACCGCCCCCTGGCCATCGACACTCACATGTTTCCTCTTCTGCCCTCTGCGCCGGCGTCCGGGCCTATGCTCTAGGCAAGGAACGGCGCTGTGTGCTGTGTTGGGGTTGATTGCGGGGTTTCCCTTACCCCAAATGCTTGGTTCCTCTCTTTGTCGTCGCAGTCTTGGGATAGCGCACAAGGTCGGCCCTCCCAATGTTTCCCCCCCGAGCCCTTGTCCGCGTCATTGACGAGCCACCTCCACCACAACACTCACATTGGCCTTTCTTCACGCCTGCATTGTGCACCTCCCGTCTTACACTGCCTGAACAATATCTTGTTTGCCTTGCTGCCCTTGTCAGCTGTCATCTTTCACGCGCTGCTCTTTGATTGCTGACCTGCACTGTGTCACAACACGGACCCACCCGCCAAGCCACTCGCTCTTTCCCCAAAACCATGTCTTGCCCTCACTCTCCACAAACTCGCTCCGTCCCTATCAATTTGTGCCTCCTATTCCCGCCTCAGTATACCCAAAAACTAGTCTTTTCAACATATGAATCAAAATGACCGACCAAGCCTCTCCCACCCCTGACAGTGACGCCAGCATCGACACACATCAGATACATGAACTTCCCAGAACATCCATGAAGAGGAAGCGGCAAGACTCTCCCGATGACTCCACCTCCGTATGCTCTTTCCCCTAAAGCACCAGCCAGCTTACGCTTCACTAACCATAATCTCACAAAGCCTGACCCCGATTCCTCATCAGCTCCCTCCAAGAAGAGACGCCATGACAAGGACGAATATAACCCAAAGGTACTAGACGCACTCTTCACCCCCATCATCCTAATAACACTCACCAGTACATGGCTCGCTTGTGTTTTGAGGCACACATGTTGCGCCAACGAGAAGCTGACATCACTGACTATACTTCGTATGCCCGACAAGACTATCAGCAAGACCTTACCTGCATGTTCACCTATGCACATGCCAAGGGGCAATTCAGAAAAGGTACGGCAGCTCGCCACTTGATCCCTCGTCTTGCAAACATCACCCCCCGATCCAGACATGACAAGATCGCACTGGTCGATGCGTTTCTCCAACACTACGAATCGGTCAAATGTGACCTGCTTTTCATCAAAGGTGCTATCACTGTTAATGCCCAGATCGACCTCGATGCCGTCACTGCTATACGTGACTGTCTCTCTGGTCTCCACTTGTCTTTGGCCAAAGGTGTCAAGTGGCGCACCATCATACCATACACGCCACTGCCCAAAGCCTGTCTTCCAATGGTGCGGGATTTCGTCGCGAGCTCCAAGCACTACCACTTTCTTGGTGATCTCACGCATACAGTCGTGGATATCGAGACCTGGCTTAACCCCCCACCCCCTTCCATAGAGCTTTCGGCCCATCAGAGGGCGTCAGTCATGGACACACTTCGGCAGGAGGGCGAGAGAGCCACTGCGAAGCCTCCACTAAACCCACCGCCTCAGAACGATGCCGATACAGAATCAATAGAGAAACTCCTAGAACAAGGCATGGAGCAGGTAAGTCGGGTGACAGAGAGAGTATATCTGGTGACAGACAGGGTAGGTCTGTTGGCAGACAAGGTAGGTCTCTTGGAAGAGCAGCTCCAACAAGTCGAGACAGCACGCACGCTGATCACCCAAAACATCAGTGTGCTAGAGGCAACCTCTGCACAACAAAAGGCAGAAAACAGCTTGAAAGAGGAGAGATGGGTTGCAGTAGCATCCCAGATTCGGAAACAATATTGCGAGCACATCGCCCGGCAAAACAGTGAAATCGAGCGAATAAAAATGGCTGTTGACGCTGAGTGTACAAGGTGCATCAACGTCACGGCAAACACCAGCCAGATTTTGGCAGAAACAACCGAACGGCTTAATGCAATGGCGAGTGTACTTGCTGGCAGCCACGTGCCAACTGCCGGCAGCTTCCCTGCACCTCAACCTTGGAACTTCCCAATGGACATAGATCAGAATTCTGACAGGATGGATATTGATGAGAAGTCCATCTCTAGTTCAGGTGGTTTTCCAGCCCCGAATTCATTCAACCTTGGGAATATTAACCCATTTGCCAACCATTCGGTCCAAGACACAACTGCACAACAGCATGCAAATCCGTACGGTTTCTTTAAAGAAGCTTGTCGTGACTTCAAACTGGGCACATGTAGACGAGGCAAGAAATGCCAGCTTCCCCATAAACCTTGCCGTCATTGGTTGAGTGGCAATTGCAAGTATCGGGAGAAGTGCAATAGAAGCCACGACCCCTTCTTCCTTGGGCAACGTGACGCTCAATCCCAACCCTCTCAATATTCCGAGGTAGACCTAATGAGTCTTGATGACTACCTACAGCAAGATCCGAACCCAATGACTGGACAGAGTCCATTCGGAAACATGCAGCCGCCGATACTGACGGAACATGCGCCTCCAATAGTGCCAAGTGGGCCAAAGGTGAGGTTCGCTCCCACCACGATGAACTCCGGTAAAAAGATTGCTCCCGTGCCTAACTTTTTTGATCCCAATTCGCACAAAGGTGGTCCTCAATTCAGTCAGTTGAGCGCCCCGTCAGGGTTCGGTCAAGGACCTTATCAATCGGGCCAACAAAGAAAGCAGGCCTGTCAGAATTACTTGCGTGGTAGGTGCAATGAAGGCCGAAATTGCATGTATGCCCACAAACCGTGCCCATTCTTCGCCAAAGGCAGCTGTAGGTTTACAGATGAAACATGTAATAACAGCCATGACCCGCTTTTCTTCGCCCAAGACGATTCTAGCGATGGGTCACAAGGTGATTTGCAACAATACCAGAATCAGCCTAAATCACAGACGAATCTCGGAAAACAATTGCATTGAATTCTCAAAGCCGCTAGCAAAAAGAACAGGCCGAGGATAGCCCCTACATCGAGTAAGCTTTGTAAGTGGCAAAGTACTCCCTTTGGTTGCACAAATGCTCGTTGTAAGTATGAGCATAACCCGCCAAAGCTGACCTTGGGACGAAGATAGAGTTGTGATTCTTTCTGAATCTCCTCGGCTTCATCTCTCGATCTTTCTCCCTCGCATTCATGACTTGAAGCACTATGACCTGTACCATCTCCATTTCTGTTTAGCGTTTACTCGATTGCATGTATTCTATAGACTGCCAAGTCGCACGTTAGAATCTTTGTTCATAGACCAATTGCTCTTAACTTATCGAATACTATTTGAAGCACATTTCAAGATTCTCTTCAGCAACCGTTCATGATTTGCACAGTGTCTCTTTATATTTTTGTTACTCAGTCTCAGCCATTTTCCCACCCCCAACCTAACAAAGCCACACTTCCACCCCAACCCACGAACAAAGACTCAGCCTCGTTTTACAAACATCTTTATATCTTAACCCCCTCCTTTGTCCCAAACACCCCAAACATCCCTCCAAACCACCAAAAAAACCCAAAAAGCTCCCGCTCAAATCTCCGATAACAAAATCCACACACACACACACACACACACACACACACACACAAAATGAACCCAACAACACCACCACCCTCCCACCTCCTCCACTCCATCCGCCAAAACTGGTCAATCCCCCCATCAGACCCCCACCTCATCCCGCCCTCCCTTCTCGCCAACCTGCCCCCAACACACCTCTCGACCACCCTGCTCACCGCCATACACCGCCTCTCCACCCTGACCCTCGGCCAGCGCGAGCGGGCGTATAACCTGTTGAATACGTATTTTCAAGCGAGGATGCGCGAGAGAGGCGGTGCAGCTGGAATGCTGGAAGTGGAGGATGTGGAGAAGGCGTGTGGGAGTGCGCGGAAGATGAGCTGTGTTAGGTTGACGGGTGAGGCTCAGAGGGATCGTGCCGACTCTGTCTACTTGTACGCATCTGAACGAGAGCAGAATGGAGAGGGTGTGCGGAATTCGATTGAGGACATGGCAGCAAGGGAAGAGGTGCAGGCGCAGGGGTATTTGATGCAGAAGCGACGGGTGGAGCTGGCGCCGATTGTTACGGCCCAGAGTGGCATATCTGCGGTTGCGGAGGCGGAGGCGGAAGGGGCGGTGCTGAGTAGCTTTACGCCGTTGTTTAGACGGTTGAGGGATGAGCTTGGGAGTGCGAGTGTGAGTGCGAGTGTGGAGTTTGGGTTGGATGGACAGCAGCAGCAGGGGAGGGAAGTGGCAGAGGGTGAGGGAAGTGGAAGTTGGGGTGCAAAGACGGATCTGAGTGCGGCACAGCGTGCCGTGCACGAGTTTAATGTCAGGAGGTTGGAGATGGAGGGGAAGAAGAGGGAGTATGAAGATGCGGCTTGGAGGTTTGAAGAGGCGAGGTGGAGGTTGGAGGGGGTGAGGGAGGGGGTGATATCTAATAGATGAATGTGCTGCATTTGTTAAGAATAATGTTAAATATG